CCCCAAACTCTCTTCTTTCCCCTTACTGTCTCTACCAAATACGTTCATGTGTTTAGCCCCAAATCTTTACTAAATTGGCTAACTACTACAGTAATCATTACACTAGAATAGACGAAGTGACATCTTCCGTCTCTTTAAGCAGATCCAAGAAACAAAAGAAATCTTTCTTCGCCAATGTAATTAAGGAAAATTCCCTTTTTATTACCATTTTGGGTAATAATCTTCCCACCTTAACAACCCACACTTTTGATCACATCAATGACTCAACCATCAATGTCAAACCAAGCGAAAATGGAGGAGGAACCCATGCCTCCATTAACACTGGTATCGGCACCTCTTCCTCCAAACCACACTCCAGGATTGTGGCTAGAGCTGGCTATGCAGGGACAAAGCCAAATCTTCAACCTGAAGATTGGCTTAGTCCTAGTAGCAATCCATGTGTAGGACCCGCTCTTCCTAGCCCAATCTATAACGGCGGGTCTGAAACACGGTCTAGCAAGCTTTGACCACCAACTATGGCTAACAATTATTCTCCAAGTCCAGTACTCGGCTGGAACGAGGAATCTGTCAACGAACGAATTCAACTTGCTGCTGGGCCAAGTGTGTCAGACCATGCCGTTTTTCCCAAAATCAGTGCGGAGAAACCACCAGAAACCCCAATCTTCCTCCTAAGGTCCCCAACGTCGATTCTAGAAATGGGACAGGCGATTTCACTATCAATAGCACCAGTCTCAGAGACCCAAACAGAGGCCACAAAATCAGTGCTTTATCATATATTGGACTTCCTCAAGGAGTCAAACTTGGAGCTGGAGGAAACGTTAGCAAACCTAGGGGTACCAAAAATAACAGTAATCCTATTGAAAATGAGCCACGTGACAGAGTTCAAAGAGTAACTCAGCGAAATGCTTATTGCGCTCTGTCCAAGAAAGCTGTCAAACTGCATCCTAGAACTCCAGGTGCCCTCATTGCCAAGCTTAAAACACTCCACAGCACTGCTACGACCAATACTAGGGAGGGAGAGCCTGAGGGCACTGGCCAAAGGGAAGGGGAAGGGTGTCAAGATGAAGACACCACACCAACAGAAGCTTTTAATGTATTTTATCATATGGAATGATAGGGGTGCGAATAGTACCTAGTTTAGAAAACACTACTCCTCCATGGTCAAACTCCACAATCCCTGATAGGGGTGCGAACATTACCGAGTTTAAAAAGGTACAGTAAAATTTGTATGCATGATTTATAGAGACGTGGATTAAGATGATCAGATTAGTAAGATTACGAATATTAAAGGAAACAAAATAAAGATAGTTTAGAAAAGAACAAGCCTGAAATTTGATTAGATTCCACTGGCGCAAGATAACCGGAAAGCTTCTACAATAGCCTTTTTGTATAAACTAAAGAAAATCTTAGAAAGAGAGATAGCTTTTATAGTTCTTGCATTTTGTCCTCCTACCCAAATGTTCTTATTTATAGTTAAATCTGAAGAGACAAGATCCTCAAATCTCACCCTCTTTAAGTAGAATAAAACTCCCTCTTGATGGCTGCAAAACGTTAGGAATAAATGCTGAGATTTTCCGTCACGACTGCTCCTTTAATGTTGTTTTCTTCAACCAATACCTTGCTTTCAAATTCACTTCTCCGATTTTTATGTTCTTGAAATTTGTACAATACCCATAACATATCCATATCCACTATTAATTATTTGCTGACTCATCTCTACTCTGATATCTCTGCCATATGTCTGCTCGAAAAGTGTGCACCTGTAGACTCTAAATTTTAGCTAATATAGAATTCATCAACAACAAAAATAGATTCACACTGAATGAAAATTCTTTCTAGTTTTTCACATTCAAACTCTATCATTCCGAAAATACATTTGTAGACAGTAATGAAAGGTGTGCTTAATGTCAATGCAGAGGAGGAATATTCAAAAGGCACAAAATAGCCGGTCCTCTCCTGCAAGTTTCTTAGAAAATATCACTCTCTCCGTTAGAATACATGTGAGTTAGTTTGACTGAATACGACATCTAAATGAAGAAAAAAAAATTAAAACTTATGATGTTGAACGCGTGATGGTACTTTTGTGAATATAAAAAGAATCATAAACATAAGATGAGAAAGTTTAAAAATAAATTATTTTTAAATATAAAAATATGTCATTACTTAAGGAACAAATAAACTAATAAAGGAAAAGGATACTATCACATCAAATAAAATGAAGGAGTAGATGATTTAGGTTAGAAAATTAATCTTTTGGTTGACATTATATTAATGCGTTTGTAAGCAGATTATTATAGTATATTACTTCTTTGAAATCAGTTAATAGTTTTCAAAGGACCTGGAAGCGATCGTAAGCATTTTAAAGAATATTTTATGGGTCCACAAAGTTCTGTTACGAAGCAGTTGATATCAGATTCCACGAGATTGACGTTAATGGGTTAGTTGGCTATTAATAATCACTGGTGGAACCACCCTTGTCTAATGGGAAGTCAATTGATATTCTTTCGCAGAACATTATAATGTATAAATATGCAAACAAGTTTTATTTATTAATACTATTATGTTAAATTTTATTATTCTATTTCTATATATTTATTTTTTTATATTTGATTTTTTCTTAGTGAAAAGTTCTTTGATAGAATTTAAAGGTCCACCAAATTATATAGAGAACCAGGATATCTATTAGTTCCCACGAACGCGCACACACTGTAGTAGGTAAATGACACAAAGAAGTTTTACATGAAAAACTCTCAGCTCACGGGATTAAAAATCACGACCTACCCTTGTAGGATTTCAACTTCACTATTGAGCAAACTTTAGATTACAACCTATTGTAATCTAGGAATTAACCTCTTAATACCTCACTAACTTGTAACAACTCTATTATAAGTCACTTTGTAATAAGTCTATTACAACGACTTCTAACTCAACTAAACTAGCCAAGACACAAACACAAGGGTTTATGATTTACAAAGGTTTCCTACACAATGCTTCTAATTAAGCTAAGTAGGAATTACAAGTATAGAACTTTAACAAAGATGCAACACAACTAAGGACATGTAATTACTCAATACAGGGAACTGGTCCATTGTTATGATTTTCTTTGTTCTTGATGCTCTTGAGAATCACTTGCCAGATTGATTGGTCACTTGAGAGAGTGCTTGATGGATTCTTCAAAAGTTCAAGTGAAGTTTTGTCTTTGGTTTAATGTTAATATAACATTGGTGACATCACTTGAATGATGCAAGCATGGATGGTACAAGATCATTCCCAATGAAGTTGATTGCTGCACTGTTTCGCACTGTTGCGTGTGCATGCAACAACTTTATAGCTGTTAGAGAGTTGACTAGTACGATCACCAGGGAAACTGATGTCCATCTGTTCCCCTTGTTGATTCTTTGACTCCTGAATCGTTGATTTACAATTCCACCTTAAGTCTTGTTGCCACATACTTGAGGATGTGTACCAGGTTCCTCATCTGATTCTTGTCATTAAGTTTGTTAGATCATCAAAATATAACAAGGTAATATAATCTATTAATTTCCCCCTTTTTGATGATGGAAAATTTATAATTGAAGTTTCCCCTAAGAACCAGAATGACATACACATGTATCCTGTATTCCCCCTGAATCTGTTCCCCAGCTTGTTCCTCTTCAATTATATTTTCCCCTTTTGGCACCATAAAAGATCACTAGCAAGTGTGCACACAATCATGACTAAAAACAGAGCAAAGAGCAAGACATACACATCAAAAGGATTAAACTTCTATTACTTTTTGGAAAGTAAGCAGGGAGCAGTTCCATTGTTACCAACACATCCACAAAATAAAAACAGCAAAAACAGAAGTACTAGTCATAAACATCATCAGAACTAAAATAAAGGGCAGGCACTAGGATTAAAGGGCAGGCACTAGGATTTGATACTGGAAAGGGAATATGTTCTAGGGAGCACTGGAAGGGGAAGTCTTAGAGGAAGAGGCAAGGGTTTTGAGGACGATGTCCATTCGAGTGTTTACTGACATCTGCTCATTGTGCAGTTACTCCTTCAGGTCCTCAACCTGTTTCTTGAGATCAGCATTCTCCTTGGTCAGATGGGCAACCTCCGTGCTTTGAGAGCTACTAGAACCAGGTGCCTCCCGAAGCTGACTTAGCTGACCCTCAAGAATGGCATTCTTTGCCTTCAACTTCCTGATCTCATCAGTGGCACTGTTTTGGGCGTTGATCAACTGGGAGATAGTAAAAGTACTGCTAACCCCTCCAACTTTATCAATGCACTCACACTCCTCTAGAGTGGTCTTAAAGAAGGTTTGCGTACGAGTACCCACCTTAGCTTTTCCTAGAGGGACTTTGAAGAACTCAAACACATTGGTGAGAAGGAACCCATAAGGCAGCCCATGATTACCATCCTTAAACTCTGCCACCTTCCGCATGTGTTCTATTATAATGCCAGGCAGGTTGATGGTGGTGTAGCTATCTAGTGCTTCCATGAGAACCAGGTATGCTCGAGATGTAATTGATCTTCTCTCATCACGAGGGAGCAAAACCTTGTTCACCATCTCAAACAACAATTGGTATACTGGAAGGAGGGCTTTCTTGTGTACCCGTTCCCTCTGTTGAACTGTCTTATCCTTCACAATAGCATTTCTAAAGTTTGAAGAGCACGAGCCTTGAATCTAAGATAATCCCTCAGCAGGCACACCCAGAATGGATCACAGCACAGCAGAGTCCATCACAAAATTGACCCCATTCACCATCATGCAAATATGATCATCCTCTACTGTGAAGAAGTCATCATAGAAACTACGCACTTCTTCCTCATACACTTTGGGATTGTCACCTGCGAACAAGTGCGTCCACTGTTGAAATTCACAGATCTCCACCAATTGTCGCATGCCAGTCATATCCAGAATATCAGGGGCAAATGTATGGCCCCACAAAACCTTTTGATTTTTCAATTTTTCCTTCCTAGCATCGTAGGTATCATCAACCTTTGCCTTCTTGGAAGAACAAGGTTCCTCACGGGCATCACCCTTTCGTTTCACTGATTTGCGATCACTCTTTCCTTTCTCAGGCATTGTCTTCTCAGACACCTTTCCAACTGATTCTTCCATCACGTTTTCTACAGATTCTTCCACTAACTTTTCACCAGAGTTATCACCTGCACTCTTTTTCTGACTCGCAACACTCATAGAGGATCCACTTTTTGACTTGGATATTGAATGCTTATGTGAGAACTTGCGAGTCAAGGAACCAGGTTCCTTGTCCATTTCATCATCAATATTGACAACATGCACTGCTTTCTTATTCACAATCTTCCCATCCTTTACCAATCTTCTCCACATTCAGTGTTCTTGGTTTTTCCTAATAACAGACTCAAAAGCCTCCTTTGTTTGTAACCTAGTAGTAGGTCTCTTAGGAGTTGGCACTTGAGTAGCGGCATGTCCACTTGTAGCCCTGATAAAACTAGAAATAGCTACATTATCATAATCATATTCATTGTCTTCATTCTCCTCTTCAGATAAAGATCTCATTTCAAGAACAACCATAGATGCATGCTTAGTGTAGAAGTGAGGAGAGGGAGCAGGATTAGTACTGATCTAGGGTTCTGGAGAGAATCCAAGAGTTGGATCCTCTATGTATGGAACAGGTTCCTCAGTAGGTGCCAATAGTATTTTCCGGTGCCGATGGTTCAACAAACACAAGTTCCCTATTCTCCACCAGAGTCCTATTTTCTTCCCCTAGAGACTCAGACTCACCCTCACCATTCTCAATAACAACACCCTTGGCAGCTATCGACAAACTATTTTCTATGGCTTCTTTTTCTTGTAACCCCATGGAAAACAAAGTAGAAGAAAGAATGTTACCTGTAGACTCAAGACTAGGGGTTGTCATTGTTGATTCAGCATGGACAAGACCAACATCTTGGTCTTTATCAGTGTATTCTTCCATTGGTAGACTGGAGATTTCTTGTTTCTCTTCTTCTTTGACTGTATCCGCTTCAACTAGGTTTTTCGGCGAGGCAAAAGGAGAAGTCGTAGCCACAAACTTCTTAGGAGTCGAAGTTTTGCGACTCTGATGAGAACCAGTACTCGATTGGGTAGGAGAGGAGGCAGAGGGTGGTGGTGAAACTTCCTTAGGGTTTGGACTGGTTGATGTGGAGAGTGTGGGTTCTATGATCGGTGTTTCAACAGGTGTGGGCCCAGTGGGGGTGACACTTGGAACATTTTGAGTTTCCTGGTGTTCAGATATTGTGGGAAGCAGTGAGTTGAAGAAGAGATAGTTTTGGTTTAAAGAGAGAAAAGAAAGGGAAATTTTGGATTTTTGATGTGAATAGTGGTGGAAGTGATGGTGAAAGGATGTATTTAAGAGGGATGAGGGACCGGTTAAGAAAGGAGGCAGTTTGGGTAGTCGGGTCACTCCATAACGGGTGAGACGCTTGGGTTCAAAAATCGGGAAAGAAAAGAAACTGACAATGTGATGACGTGGCACTGTTTGAACCGTTTAAAAATTATGAATGCGGGTACAGAGAAACTACTAACCTGTGTCAAAGGAACCAGGTTCCCTGACGGATTTTGCAAATGTAAGATTCATCCTTTGACCAACGTGCAATGCATTAACTGCTTGTTTCATTTGTAATCATCATGTGTATTTACCTGTAACGGTATAGAAATGAGTTAGACTTTTCCAGAAAACACTTTTTAGCTAAACTACTTGTACATTTCTTTCATAGCCAAACATCAAGGGGCCGGGTTCTCAACTTGGATTTATTAGCCCTAGTGCCAAGCGATTTCTTTCAACGTGCTTTCTGTTTATTGCTTTGGTGAATATGTCTGCAATTCGATCTTCTGTATTGCAAAATTTCATACATATGAGCCCTTTTTCAACATTGTCTATGAGAAAGTGGTGACGCACATCAATGTGCTTTGTTCTCTTATGTTGGACTGGATTCTTGGCCATGTTGAGTGCACTGGTATTGTCACACAGCAAGGGCACACAATCAGAGAACACTCCAAAGTCTTCCAACTACTGCTTAATCCATAGTAGTTGAGCACAACAAGATGTAGCTGCCACATATTCTACTTCTGCAGTGGAGAGGGCCACTGAGTTTTGTTTTCTTGTACCCCATGAAATTAGGCATGAACCCAGAAAATATGCCATTCCAGATGTGCTTTTCCTGTCCACCAGACACCCTGCATAATTAGCATACCCAACTAAGTCACAGTTATCTCCAAAGGGGTAGTAGAGAACCAGGTCCTGTGTTACTTTGAGATATCTCGGGATTCTCTTGGCAGCCTTCAGATGAGATTTCTTTGGATTAGATTGTAACCTGGCACAAAGTCCCATAGTGAAGACAATATCTGGTCTACTTGCTGTGAGATACAGGAGTGACCCTATGATACCTCTATACATGATCTGATTCACAGGGGAACCAGGTTCATCCATGTCTAGACCAGTGGCTGTGGCAATGGGAGTGCCAATGATTTTTTATGCTTCCATGTCAAATCTCTTCAACAGCTCCTTGATGTACTTTTGCCGACTTATCAAAGTCCCCTTTTGAGATTGCTTCACTTGTAAACCCAAGAAAAAATTCAATTCCCCCGTCATGCTCATTTCAAACTCACTTCCCAAGAGTTTTGCAAATTCCTCACACAAAGAGTCGACTGTTGCTCTGAAAATAATGTCATCAACATAAACTTGCACAATGCGCAGGTTCCTCCCGCGTTTCTTCAGAAAAAAGGTGTTGTCAATTTTTCCTCCTGTAAAGTCATTCTCTAGAAGTAATTTTGACAACCTTTCATACCAAGCTCGAGGAGCCTGCTTTAGTCCATATAAATCCTTGTCAAGTTTAAAGACATGCTCAGGATGCTCATGATTCTCAAATCCAGGAGGTTGCTTGACGAAGACTTCTTCCTTTAGAAAGCCATTCACAAATGCACTTTTGACATCCATTTGGAACAATGTGAATTCCATATATGATGCAAAGGCAATAAGAATTATGATAGCCTCTATTCGAGCGACTGGAGCGAAAGTTTCATCATAATCAATCCTTTCTTCTTGATTGTAGCCTTGAATTACTAGCCTTTCCTTGCTTCTTGTGGTGTTTCCAAACTCATCAAGTTTGTTCCTGAATACCCACATGTTTCCAATAACAGTACGATCCACAGGTCATGGAACCAGGTGTCATACTTTGTTTCTCTTAAATTGATGGAGCTCTTCTTGCATGGCAGTAGTCCAGTCTCCATCTTTTAATGCTTCTTTGATATTTTTGGGCTCTATTTGAGATAGAAAGGCTGAGAAGGCAAGTGTGTTTCTAGACTTTGATCTGGTTTGAATTCCTGAATCAAGAGGAGTGATTATGTTTTCAAGAGGGTGTGAACCTTTGTGCTTCCAATTTGGTACCTGAATCTCATTGATAGAAGATCCAGGTATATCTGACTGTGGTTCTTGGTCGCTTCTCATCTCAGCATGTAGGGTGCCTTGGACAGCATCGACAACTCTGTTCTTAGCTCCAGTTGTCGTGATTGTGGGACCAAGTTCCTCTCCATCAGTTGGAGACATAGTCGCACCATCTTCATTGGATTCCTTAACGTGACTCATCATGTCAGCCTTTCCATTTTCCATGTCAATAACTTCACCATTGACATTTGATAGCTCTCCATCTTGATCAGCCTTATCATGTGCAGCTTTTCCAAGAGGGTGTTGTGCTTTGTCAAAGATCACATGTATGCTTTCCTCAACATATTGAGTTTTTTTGTTGTATACCTTGTAGGATTTGCTTTGTGATGAATATCCAAGAAATATTCCTTCATCACTTTTGGCATTAAAATTTCCTAGAGCTTCCTTACCATTTTTGAGAACAAAGCATTTACAACCAAATATCCTCAAGTGTGTTAGCTTAGGTTTTCTCCCATTCAGCAGTTCATACGGGGTTTTGTTAATGAGGGACCTGATCATGCACCTATTCACCAAGTAGCATGCAGTGTTGACTGCCTCTGCCCAGAAAACCTTTGCAACACCACTATCGATTAGTATTGTTCTTTCCATGTCTTCAAGAGTCCTACTCTTCATCTCCACAATACCATTTTATTGTGGTGTTCTTGGAGCTGAAAAATTGTGAGTAATGCCATTTTCAATACAGAATTCGTCGAATTTGGCATTATCAAATTCTGTACCATGGTCAGACCTGATACATACTACATTATTACCCATCTTCACTTGGATCTTCTTGACAAATGCAACAAATACTTGGAAGGTTTCATCCTTAGTTTGAGAAACAAAGTCCAGGTGAATCTGGAGTAGTCATCCACAATGACAAAGATGTACCTTTTTCCTCATCTGCTTGGCACTCTCATAGATCCACATAGATCCATATGGAGAAGATCCAGTGGCCTTGAGGTGATAACTTCCTTTTTAGGCTTGAAAGAGGATCTGACATGCTTTCCTTTAGCACACGCATCACACATCTTGTGATCCTTGAAGCTTGACTTGGGCAGACCATGAATCAGGTCCTTCTTAACCAGTTTGTTCAGCAGTGAGAAACTTGCATGACCGAGCCTTCTGTGCTATAACTCAATATCATCATCAACAATACTTAGACAGCTGAGATCACCACTCTGTAGGGACTCAAAATCAGCAACATAGATATTTTTGTATCTTTTCGCCACTAGCACCACTTCACCAGTCATAAGATTTGTGACTGTGCATATCTTTGACACGAATTCCACCTTGTTTCCTTTGTCAGATATTTGGGAAACACTCAACATGCTTTACTTCAATCCGTTGATATAGTACATATTTTTAATAGAATGAGAGAGTGACTTCCCAATCTTCCAAATCCCAGAATGTATCCCTTTTTGTCATTTCCAAAGGATACACTCCCTCCTTGCTGGGCCTTCAGTGAAAGGAAATCGATTGTACTTCCAGTCATGTGCTTTGAACAACCACTATCCATATACTATTGTTGGATGCTCCCCTTCACTGCTCCCTGCACAAGGAAATCAAGGGTTAGATTTAGGAACTCAAACAAGTTTGAGTCCCTTGTAATGAGGAAAGGGATGAATGAGAGTTCTTTTGGTCCAAGAAGGCATCATGCGTATTTTATATGAGGGACCAGGTTCTCTAGCGGTAGTTACCTTCTTAGAAAACACTTTGTTTTTCTATTGAGACTGAAACTTAGCCTTATAGGTTTCCTTAAAGTGCCTAGTGTCACCACAGTGAGTGCAGAGCTAATTGTCAGGTACAGTAACGTACTTGCTATGAGGGTTGTAGGGAGTTTTTTCCCTTTGAAACCTGATTCCCTGCCTGTTTCCCCCATTGTTTATGTACATGGCAGTGATAGCAT